CACTGGTTATGCAATTAACAATCTTGCTCACCAAGGGCGTATTTAAATGTTTCTTAATCCACTTGGGATTAATTATTGAATGAATTATTGAATGGGCAAAAGCAGTCTTACCAATTAGCATAAGTTTGCACATTACCAGTACTGTGAGAATGTAAAATATCAGGCCCTGTTAACACAGATGCAGTTTCTCATTTAAAAAGATGCAGTAACTAAACAATCAAGGTGGCTTACTACAGTTTCTTCAGTAGTGTGTGCTATGATTGCCTGCAAGACGTCATTAGTTGCGGGTGCAAAAATGACGCAGGTAACCCCAAGAAGAAACAAACTTGAATTGCATTAAACCACTTTGGTATATGTAGCAGTAGTTTCAAACTAAATTTAAACATGTGTTAAGCCTAGGACTAATGAAATTGACAAAACATGGTAAACAACTGGTAAAAGAGGTCTTGTTTACCCTTACTTTCTCACACACCCTACATGGCATCACATGAGTGCACGCTCAAGTAACAGGCATGCGCAGTTCAACTCCAGTGCAAGGTTGCAAGAGCCAGTCTTTGAGCCATGGCAAAATTTTACATTTTCTTTGCTTGCAAAAAATCTGTTTTGCAGATTTTAATTTTACTTTGCATGAATGTTTAAACTGAGCCAATTTTTAAGTCCTGAAATTTTGAGGTTGAGTAGTACAGGTAGATTTTGAGAAAAACAGCAATAAACGTATTAGTGCCCAGTCGTTCATTTTGGCTATTTATTGATGCTCAAATTGTTCAAGTATAACATGGAATGGTGGAAGACTTAAGCAAAAGGTAATTTGAGAAAGCAAAAATGTTTTGGTCCATTTTTCTAAAGGGTTAAAAATTTGACTCTTACTACATCAAAACTGTAGTAAGCCACCTAAACTATGTGCTAACTTCTCTGGCAAGCACACAAAAATAACTGTAGTGCTATCTAGATATAATAGTTTGGCATTTACTCTGAGTTATTATGTGCTTGACAGTTTGATTTTCTCTGAGGTCTTCTGAAATTGATTCTTTTGAATACATGTTCTTGTAGATGAAGAACTTCAGTACTTCAGCTTTCATCAGTTAATTGGCTCTATGTTCCTGCTAACACCTCTTTTTCCCTTCTACAGTCAAAATTATAACAGACCGAGAAAGTGGAAGACCAAGAGGCTTTGGGTTTGTAACTTTGAGGTCTGCAGGTGATGTTGATATCGCACTCGATTACAAGGATGACCTGGTACAGTAATTAGTTGGTTTTTATGATCATTATATTCAATCAAGAAGTAACTGATCATCAGGGCCAGGTTGTCTAAAAGCCGGTTAACGCTAACCCAGAATTAAAAGTTAACTGAACTATTAATTTTTCTTGTCAAAAAATGTTTTTTTTTTACGCAGGGCTCGCAATTAACAAAATCCTTAGGTAGCCATTTGGTGATGAAGTGGTAAAAACTAGTCGCTAAATGTAAATTTTTAGTCGCAAAATGAAATAGAAGAGACAATATCCATAGACATACGTGACATACTCAATGCTCAACAGTTTGCAATGCATTATAGGGCGATTTCGAACAGGTGTAACCATTTTGAAGTTTTCAAGAGAGATAGAGTTGTTTACTTTAGTGTGCCTTAGAATAATCAAACATGCCGATCCAGTTGGCAATCAAAGAATCGTGGGTTTGTTTTATTATATCTATATGAATAAATTGTGTCTTTCATCCACAAGTAATGTTCTTTTTCCTTTGAGATTACTGCTAACCCTTTTAATTTGTGTCAGTCAAGGCAAAACCTAGTCGCAAATTTTGACTACTAGCGTTTTTCTAGTTGCAAATAAGTAAAGTTAAGTCCCAAATGGACTATTGTTCACAATGTCAAGCCCTGTTTATCGCTCACGTTTTGTGTAGTTTTAGCTTAGTCAAGCTCAAAACTGAAGGACAAACATAACAAGAAAGCCTCACTGAAAAGTTACAAAACTAAAATCAAAATTCTTGCTGATCCTGGGTTAGCTTAATTGTACTTTGAACAACCTAGCCCAGGGTTTTAACCAGATGGATGTCAAGGTGTCCTGTAGACGGCCACTTCCAAAGAAAGTTGTTTTATAAATTGTTCATTTTAGCAGACCTTAAAGTGCATCTTGATGCCCACTTCTCAAATATTACAGGTTACACTGATTCTCGTTTGTATTTTACTGACTCCATTGACCTTTGTAATAAGCAAAGATGTTACAGTTTGTTGCAAAACAGAAGTGCAATAATATTCTCGATGTTGATTGTAAACATTCTCAGTGAGAACAATCATTTATTTAAGGTTTATGTAATAGAGGCAATGTACATTTTTAGATAACCAAGACAATCGATTGCAGAACATAGCAAGTAAATTGCTACAAATCGTGAATATTCAGCAATCAGTTCACCACAAATCCAAGTCCATTTAAACATTTTAATTGTTTTTAAAGGAATTAGATGGACGGACTGTTGTAATATCAAAAGCTAAAGCTCGAGAAGGTGGCGGTGGAGGTGGCAGACGAGGAGGTTACCGAGGTGGCAGAGGAGGCGGCGGTGGATATGGAGGAGGAGGAAGGTACAGTGGAGGAGGAGGGTATGGTGGAGGAGGAGGCGGATATGGTGGAAGATACGATGGAGGTAAGGCTTTTTAATACGCATTAACTCTTCTGTCATGTGTCATGTTTTGTTTCCACGTTGTCAGCAACAATGTGCACTCCTCAAAAACTGAAGAAACTGACGCAATCCTAAGCAGCCTCGGCCATTTTCGATGTATTGAAATTATTGACATTGCATGCTGAAGCAAAATCTTATTGCTTTACTCTGAGTTGTGTACCTGAAAGTTTGTAAAATTATCTTTAGTAGATTCACAGTGATTTTCTTCATTTCAGCATGCTCCAAATAAAACATAAAAGTCAAACTCATGTGTATAAACATAGACAAAGGTGTGACTGACTAGGGCCCTTAAATTAGAGTTCAATCAAATAGATTTTTCCAGCCAGAAACACTTTCAAAACTTGAGACTGCAAGATAAGTGAACAATGGGTTGAAAGCATGGATTGCTTTGCCATATTGAATGTTTCCCCACCCTGTACACCCTTGCCTTGTATATAGAAGAATTTTGTAGGCCCTGTAGTTGACTAAACCAATTGCCAGACTTAACCTTGTACCTTGGATTCACAGGATCTGGAGGTGGTTATGGTGGTGGTGGTGGTCGTTATGGTGGAGGATCACATGGCGGAGGAGGAGGTTATGGTGGCCAAGGTATGTGTGCAGTTAGTATATCATTTAGTAAGTGTCTGTTTTGTAAAAGAAGAAATGAATTGTTTTTGTGTGATGTCTGTTTTTATGATCCTTAAGTTCTGAATCCTGTCTGCGATATGCTCAGAGTCTAACTGCTCATATATTGTTCAAGTTTTGCAATGTAGTATGGGTATATTTAAACAGTACCCCACTTTTAGGTGCAATAATTTTTTATATTCATAACTTATCTATATTACTAACATTAGAAGTCTTTTGAATATATGTTTGTTTCTAAAAAAAGATCTGCAGTGCATACACTCAGAAAAGCATTTAATTTGGTAGTGTTTGTGGTTACCTTCCCACATGTGCCTAGTGTGGCAGATAAGGTCAAAAAACTTCAAGAACAGCTACCTGGCCTGCTAAGTCAATAGGAAATGTCTGGTGATATGGAAACTTGTATCGACACCTTCCATTAAAAACTTTATGAAATTCTGCATACCTTCTGGCATCATTTTCTTTACATGTACACATTTCGTTGCAAGCACTTTACTTCCCTTTAAAGTGTGCAGAAACCTTCAGTTTTTGATCATGGAAAAATCCTGTGCCACGAACATATTTGTACCCAAGATTTGAAATGATCCCGCCTACTTTGATTTAACCTTCTGCAGTTCTATAGGAAGGGTATAATTCTAATGGAATTTTCCTAACAATTCAATTTGTTCTGTTTGTCCATTCTCACAAAAGGCCGTGACTGGTAATGATCTGTACTGCTCCATGATTCAACTGTGTTCCTGTCAATCTGTTATTCATTGATGAGCTGAGGTGATAGTAGCAAGAGAAATAAAATTCAGTGTGCCGTCCTGAAACTTGATGAACGATAAACCTCAGCTTATGATGTTCGGTGCTCTGAAGTTACCTGTTACGTTGTTCCATGTGCTCTGAAAACCTCAGCTTACGATGTTTGGCTCGCTCAAGTTCCAGTTCACGACCCATGAGTTATGCAGAAAAGTCTCACTATATCGAGTCCAGCAATCATTTTATGTTGATATTGCCTAGAGTGTAGCTCAAAGCATTTAGTTTCAAATGCTCGTTTTTATAATTTATCTGTTCATCAGAGAGTTGTTGGTTTGTTTATTCAGCCCAATATCGGATTACTGTATTGCATTAAAAGAAAACGTTTTGCTGTGTCCGTGCAAGTAATGGAAATCGGTGAATTAAAGCAACAGTGGGTCAGCATACCCTGGATGAGAGATAGGAAATGAGAAACAATCTGATCTCTCAAATTCATAGACTTCCTGTTGCAACTTCAACTTTTAGAGGGTGGTTTGCATTTGACGTCATCAAAACTGTCAACGTGACAAAATTCACAAATGTGAATGTCCATGCAACTTTTCATGATTCCAAAAACCTTTCTGATGAATTAAAAGCATTTTGTGATTTACAGCTTCACAGCTGAGCATTTTTTGATTGAGAAGAATTATACACCAGGAAAGCGTGCTGTGTTTTAAAATCTTTCCAGGGTTCATTTTGCTGTCTTATGGTGTACATGAACGAAGTGTACTTAAAGAAAAAATAATTCCTTGTGGCAAGTGACTCTCTGGCCCCTCTACTTTTTCCAACATTTTTGTTTCGCCTATGCTGCAATCTTAACAACCTTCACTGTTGAAATTTAATAGTGTAGCGAGAAATGTTGATTATGTCTTTGTAAACCACCTGCGGCAGCCTCTTAATTCTTAGTCCCATGGAAAGCCAGTATTATAAATGCATCTTGGCTCCCTGTTGAATTATGATGTTCTTGCTTGGTAAAAAGTTCCTGCCAATTGATTTACCAAAACACCATAAAACTGTTTGTACTGTGTAGAGTAGAAATGACAGACTGAAAAATTGATTGAAAGTAGTTATTTTAGCAGCCTTTCGTTGCACAACTGGGCTTTTGGTACAAGTAACCAGGATGCCCAACCTGTACATAACCAAAAAATGTTTAGGTTACCCTTTCAAATGGCTTACTGAGTACATGGAGTGTACAAGAGCCTGTATGACTTGGCCATTTTGAATTCAAACCCTTTACATAAAGTTGAATCAGAGCAAAATTTATAGCCTTTTATTGGGATTAAATTTTCATGAAAGGCAATAAAATTGTAGTTCCTTGTTGGGACATAATTTCCATGAAATATTCGAACATTCCCAGCAATTCGGTTTTACCCTGCAATATAAACTATTCTTCACAAGCAGGCAACTTTATCGGATCAAGGGGACATGCCGACGGGTGTTGCCTATTCTGTACCTCTCAGTTTTGTTTTGTTTTTTTTTAGTAGAAAAATCGTTTCGTTCAGTCTTCACGTATATCTTGAGGCCCTGTTTTTAAGGCCCTTCTTTGGGGGCGTGCCCTGTATAGAAGTTTCATCCAGAGCTTGTAGGTGAACTCGAAATGAAGTACACCTCAATTGTCATCTGAAGGCTGGATTTTTCTTTGCTTTTTTTTTTTT